AAAAGAACAGCTTCCCTAGGGAACAGTTTATATTCACAATGCCTTTTCATGGAGCTTTCTAAAATAATGGAAATGTCTTCAATGTCCAATGTGATAGCTACTAGAACTGGCTTTCATACACTTGAAATGTGGATTCTGAAAGTAAATACTTATATTTTTGATGACTTGTATTTTTAATAATATTTCATTTAAGTTCAATTGTAGGTAGTCACATGTGACTAGTGGCTGCTACATTGATTGGACAGTTAAAATCTAGAAGGAACTCAGAATAGCAGTTAGAGACACATAGTTATTAGTAAAATATTCATATATGTTATGCAGAAAGTTCTGGATTAGGAAACACTGTCACTGTCACTGTCTTTCCGTTTTTCACTGATTTGCTCAAGTGGGCCCAATAACGTCTCCATTTTGAGACTTCTTGTTACTGTGTTTGTCAAATTGAATAGGTCATAGGTAGCTTGCCAGGCTTTGCCGTGCGGGTAAGATACTCTTGGTAGCTTGCTGGGCTCTCCGAGATAGGCGGAGGAATCGAACCTGGCTCAGCCTGGCTGGCTGCGCACAAGGAAAATGCTCTACTGCTGTGCTATTGCTCTAGCTCTGGACTAGGAATAAGAACCCTAATTCTATTTCAGTTCTGTTATTAGGCAGTGTAACCTTCTCTGTCCTCAATCTAACATCTGTGACTTGAAAGTGTGGAATAATTGGGAAGTAGAAAACACTGAAATCAACTTTGGAACACAGATGTGTATCAGGAAAAATAAATATAATAGTAATTTATTATTATAGTTTGTTTCTGTGAGTGCATGTGTCTGTTTCATATACATATAAATGGCAGGGATAGGAAGACATTAATTCCAGTTCAGATTTCTTAACATTTTTATTAAACCCATCCAAATCACACCACTGTATTTTCTTTATAGATTCTAACATCATATTAATCTATTGACAGATTAGATCATTTCTAAGGACCCTTCCTGCTTTATCAAATTATTTGTCTTTGTACCATTTTAGTGCCCCAAATCTGTTTTCAGTTTTAGAATATGACTAGAAGTATTCTCATAGCTTCCTATTTCCTCTCCTCTGAATTTGATGCTAATATTAGAGTAAATGGTGAAGACAAATGGCAGAGATAGTATAGCTTCCACCCCCCTCTGCAACTCTGGTATTAGACTAAAAGTAAGATTTGGCGCTTCTAAATTCTTGGGGAGGCAGCATAGTAGAAAGTACCAAGAACATAGCAGTTTTAATCAGTAGATCAGGTTTGGAATATAGGGTTAACTTCCTTGATAGCTGTGTTAGCTTATGTAAAACAAGGATGGGGAAAATTCTCAACCTTATAAAATCATTGTAGAGTTACAAGTACAATGTGCTCATAAAACGAGACAAGTAGGAGGCCCTGAAAAAAATATTCTTATTTCTTTTATTTACCTCAACTTATAGCTAATTACATTACTGCCCTTTATAAGGCCGGAAGTGATAGTACGTGGTCTGTAAACTCATTATCTCAAAGCCAGAAAATACCAGTGATGGGGAAGAGGTCTACCTCTACACCAGGGGACTAGATTCAGTAGACTGTATTAGTTTCAGGAGCTAGGCTCACCAGAAAGCAAGATATCACATTAGATCAGAGAGAATATAGGTTAGCTTATTTAATACTTACTAGCCTGTGTCCTTCTGATAGATGAGATTTTACTTTAGATGTACATATTTCCTTATTACTGACTTGTCCTTGACCTGTAGAAATGGTTATTGGACTATGTTATATTGCAATTGGAATTCAGTTTCCAGGGTCTTTAACTTCTTATCTGCCTTCTCCTGATACCACAAGGCCCCATTTTCTCTTCCTTTATTTGTTGGTCCGAACAAACTCCATTCTTCATTAATTTACTGAGTTACTCTATCATTGGGGCTGGAGCCATAGCACAGCAGGTAGGGCGGTTGCCTTGCACACGATTTCTCCGCCCCCTTGGAGAGCCCGACAAGCTACCAAGAGTATCTCGCCCACACAGCAAAGCCTGGCAAGCTACCTGTGATGTATTCAGTATGCTAAACACGGTAACAAGGTAACAAGTTTCACAATGGAGACATTAATAGGCCCACTTGTGCAAATCAATGAACAGCGGGAGGACAGTGCTACAGTGCTACTCTATCATTGGTGTTTATACTAAAAGACTTGAAACTACTTAGGACTGAAAATCAATTCCTTATTAGCATAGTTTCCCCTCAGGAGCCAGAAACTTATGCTTTTGTTGTATTTATGCATTTAAATTGGGAAATAAATTATTTGTTTTTTACCTCATTATGATGTTAAAGGTATTAGAGATAGAGATTTTTGATCTACTATAATGCAACTGACTATGCTAAAACTCATAGCTATGACTTATTGATTATTTATATTTAAATGCTACAGAAATAGCATAAATAAAAATCAGGATGACTAAGGACCTCTAAATTGTGTATGTGAGAATGGGGTGGGTGGGTCATAAGGATTGAGATCAGTAATATTGTTGTTTTAAGTAATTTTTCCAGCATTTGTTCTAGTAATTGTCTCCTAACATGGTTCCCACACAAGCATATTTTATTATTTTTTGATATTATAGGAAATGTCAACTCTTTAACTTATCTTCTCACTTTTTTAAAATTATCAAAATGTAAGTGGCAGTGCAACTTACATATAGGGGTAATTTCTGACAATGTCTGAAGCTGTTATACTGTTAAATGAGATACAGCAATACCAGGAAATTGCATTTTACTGGATCAAAGTGAGACTTGGTAGTCTAAATATTATATGGATCATTCAAGGGCATTTCTAAAAAAAAAACAATACCATATCCTCTTCAATGAAAAGGGTTCTTGACAAATTTTCCATCTTCATCGAGCTTTCTAGAGGTGTCTATGAATGTGTTAATTTATGGAGAGAGAAGAAAATCGAGAGAGAGAGAGAAGGGAGGGTCACAAATCTAAGTCACTGTACTTCTTCATTTCTCGAGAAACAGCAAAGGACAAGTTTACTCTTTCTTTCACAGGTTTGCCATTAAGTCTCTTTCTTTAGCAATCTAGTATGATGTACAAGGCATAGATATAATTGTATCAGTTTCTTGATTTAAAACATTCTGTATTTGTCTATTGAGTTTAAGATAGAACCCAGATTTCTAAATATGATATAGTGTAGTATATATCACTGTCACTGTCCTCCTGTTGTTCATCAATTTGCTCGAGCAGGCCCAGTAACGTCTCCATTGTGACACTTGTTACTGTGTTTGCATGTCAAATACATCATGGGGAGCTTGCCAGGCTTTGCCATGTGGGTAAGATAATCTCGGTAGCTTGCAGGGCCCTCCGAGAGGGGCGGAGGAATCGAGCTCCGGTCGGCCATGTTGGCTGTGTGCAAGGCAAACGCCCTACCACTGTGCTATCGCTCCAGCCCATATTATATATATATATATATATATATATAATATTTATATGCATCTAAATGCATACATATAAACTTATATGTATATATTTGTACTTTAAAATAAGGTACCAATGTTGATTTTATCTTCATTAATAGTCACTCTACCCACAGGTGCATAGACTCTATTTCCCAAACATTCCTTAGTACATTTATTTATGTTCATTCTAATATCTTCTGCCTGGTAAAATAATTTTTCAAGTCCATTCAAATATGATATAAAGAATTTTTCGATCCTACATATGGTAGGAGAGACTACTGTATCTTATGTTCACCTGTCATCCCTTTCACTGATTTGCTCAAGCGGGCTCTAGCAACGTCTCTATTTGTCCCAGCCCTGAGATTTTAGCAGCCTCTCCTTACTCGTCCTTCCCAAAGCTGCTGTATTGAAGGCTCTTTCAGGGTGAGGGGAATGAGGCCCATCATTGTTACTGTTTTTGGCATATCAAATACACCACCGGTAGCTTGCCAGGCTCTGCTGTTCTGGGAAGGATACACTCAGTAGCTTGCCAGGCTCTCCAAGAGGTATGGAGGCTTTTGGAGAGACCCCTAATCTCTTTTGCAGGTGTTCCCAGTCTACTGATTACAAGCTTTTGGTCGACTGGCATGTTGTAATGCTCTGCACGCTGACAAATATGCACCTGCCTGCACCTGGCAGCACTTGGGACATCTGCGACCTTGATCTCCTTGAGGTTGATGGAGTGAGCCCGGAGATTGTTTAGCATCTGGCAGAGCAGGACCCCATCTCCGAGGGTCTATGCCAGGTTGAACACCTGAGCCGAGTCCCAAGTCACTGGTGGTTGGCGGACAGCATCTTGCAGTGGATGAGCCACTGTGAGCACTGCTGAAATAGCTCCATGCTTGACAGCTCTGCAACTCAGCTGGCTGGGACAGGTGGTAATGCTGTGGCCGCCACCACAGTTTCTTCGTGCCACACCGACATTGTTCTGTCTGAATCCAATATTTATTAACATGCATAAATATATGTGTGTACGTATGCTAAAATATTTACCAGTTTCACATATTCTATAATTACTTGTGGATATTTATTTCTCACATTTTTTTTTATAATTGCTTGTCAACACTACCAGTTTCACCTATTTCACAATTGCCTGTGGACATTTATTTCTCTATCAGACCAGTGTAGAACATATGTCCATTCTGTAACTCATAAGCAAAAATCTAATAATGCATGTCAAATGAATGAATCATGAATATATTAGTAAATCATTTCATTGAAGATTAAAGATATGAATACTGATAACTGCATTTAGGCAGGGAGTGACCTAAATATATACCACATCTCTCTGACAATGCGGAGCAGAAAGAAAGTGAAATAAGAAAGTTTTAATTCAGTAGGTATTTGAAATGAAGAATTGTTTATTGAACTAGTATTAAAACTGACATTTTTATTAAGTACTTTAGTATTTGTGACCAGAACATTTTAAAGTTCTTGTTATCTTTGCTCATTCTTTCAAACAATCTCTCTTTACTGCGTGATTTTGGCTATTGGTAATATATTCAAATTTCCCTTCTCTCCCAATAGCCCGGAAGCTGAAGAAACTTGGCAATCTAAAACTACAGGAGGAAGGGGAATCTTCCAGTGCCAACAGCCCCACTGAGGAACAAACCCCAAAGTTGACAGTATCTCACATTGAAGGCTTTGAGTGTCAGCCCATCTTTCTGAATGTTCTGGAGGCTATTGAGCCAGGCGTGGTGTGTGCTGGCCATGACAACAACAAGCCTGACTCTTTTTCAGCCTTGCTTTCTAGTCTCAATGAACTAGGGGAGCGACAGCTTGTGCACGTGGTCAAGTGGGCCAAGGCCTTGCCTGGTAAGGAAAAGGGAAATATGGCAATGGGATATAGGGGGAAATCCTACATACCAGATACCGTGCTTGTTTCTTTCCTGACTCTTGACTCATCCAGCCTTTATTATATCCCTGTGGGGAAGCAATTAGCATAATTATCACATTAAATATGATGGATATAACAAAGATTATTTCATATTTAACCCACAGATACACTCAGCAAAACTTCCCTTAATCACAGATCTCATAATCATATGTGTATATGCCTAAAGATTCTTCTATATATACACACAGGATCACCAAATAATCATATATATATATATGCCTAGATGTTATTCTGTCTTCAATGTTATATTTAGAAGTAATATCATTATAATCACTGTCACTGTCCTCCCATTGTTCATCGATTTGCTCGAGCAGGCCCAGTAACGTCTCCATTGTGACAATTGTTACTGTGTTTGGCATATCAAATACGTCACAGGTAACTTGCCAGGTTTTGCCATGCAAGCGAGATACTCTCAGTAGCTTGCCAGATTCTCTGAGAGGGCGGAGGAATCGAACTCGGGTTGGCCATTTGGCCACTTGCAAAGCAAATGCTCTACCCACTGTGCTATCGCTCCAGCCCTTCATTATAATATAAAATAATAAATATATTATGTTACAAATAAAATTGGGCTGGAAGTCAGAACATTTAGTTTCAAGTATTGAGTCTGATTATTTTATCCCTTCTATCTTTGGATCTTAGTTTCTTCATATACATAATAAGAGAAGAGTAGCCTGGAATAAATTGATAGCTTAAAAATTTTGCTCCAAGGAACTCTTAGCGATCTTTAAATTACCTTAACAATTATAGTGGGTGGAAATATTAAGTGATAGTGAATGGAATGAAAAATATATAATTTGTGCTTCACTACTTCAATGATCAGGAAATCACAATGCTGCATACCGTTTGAACAGTCTGGTTATTCAAATATTAGAGCTACAGAAACGTTAAAGGTCCTCTACCCAATGGTTTCTGAATTTTCATCTAATAACTCAACTCATTGTTTCTCAAAATCATAAAGCCAATACACGTGTATTTTGTTGATTTAAAGCCAGAGACTCACCCTCATTAACCCCAAAGAAGTCTCAGTGCACTCCTAAAGTATCTTAATGCTTCACAAAATACTAAGGATTCTATAATCATTTTTAAGATTTAAAGAATCTTTTGAAACATCATCAACCAAGGCTTTTCTTATGGAGTAACTGCCCTCTACTAACAACTGATATTCAATTTTATATGTTGAAAAGAGTAGTTTCCTATGTGTTATTTTATTTTAATAAGAATTTCTTTAAAATAAGGACCTGAGCAATAGTTTAGTGGATAGGTCCTTGCACATGATTGACCCGGATTTGATACCCACATCCCATATGGTCCCCCAAGCACTGCCAGAGTAATTCTTGAGTGTACAGCCAAGAGTAACACTTAAGCAATGCCTGTCTGGTCCCCCAAACAAAAAACTCATTTAAAGAAGAAAAGAATCCATTAAAATAGATATAGAGTCCTTTAAAATAGATAAAGAGAATAATTCTTTAAAATATATATTTCCAGTATTTTATAGAAGACACTGGAGCTCCAAGAAGTCATATGCTCCCTAAACTGGAGTATTAAAAACCTGAGAATAATGCTCTGTTTTTCCGAATAACCTACCACGATGCTGATTAAGTGTTGGATGAATCTATGCCAAAGGAAATCTGTGACCAGCCATCCGTCCAGTCATTCCTTGATAGCAATTAACATCTGAGATTACTTCAAAGTATTGATATTAAATAGTAAATATTCTAATAAGATTATATATCTAAAAAAATTAACCAGCATTGTTGTTTTTGTGTTCATGGTGATTAAACTTAAGTGCTAAATAGCTCTCACCTAGAACCATTAATTAGTATTGCTGCGAAACTATGCTTTTAAAAACATTTGTTAAGTCTCTGGAATATTCTGGGGAAAGAATCAGTACTGACAACTCGCTTTGTATTTTTACAGTTAAATCTCTATGTACCTTCTTATTTTTTAATCAACAGTCAAGGCAAATCCTGCTTCCCTTTGACTCCCTCTACAGAGATTCAGGGTTCAAGATCCCAACCTTCTCTACCCAAAAGATCCTTGGAAGTTCCATAACTACTTGGTTCTTACTTTTTTTTCTAGTGAAGAAATCAATATAGGTCGTCTATGTCACAGAAAGCCTTCAGACATGAAATACTCTGGAATCGGAGGCACTGGCTTCTTTATTATTATAGTACAGATGGAAAGCAGACAATTGGGAACTAAGACTTTAGCAAAGGGTATTGTTATGAGGAACTGCACTAAACCCTGGTATCTGGGAGAATTCGTACCAAGTGAAAAGAGAAAGAAAATAGATTGTTTAAGAGCACAAATATCAACTATGTGGAACAACATGAATAAATAGAATAGACTTAAGAACAGCTAGTGACTTTGGTAATTCTTGGTTTGAGACCATCACAACTGTAGACTGAAGAAGAGAATTAGAACACCTTGGTTTTAGTTCTAGTTGACCACATGTAGACAATATGACCATGGAGAATTCTGTTAAATTACCTGCTTTTTAGGTTCCTTGTTGACAACTTGTAACATTGATCATCCTCTAGGGTAATTACAATGGGCAAATGAAAACATCAACAGTGAAGAAGCATCATCCAAATTATTACAGGCATTCAAGCCAAATTTCAGATAACTTATGGGTACACTTGAAAAGGTAGAAATGAACTCGCTGGTAGGGGTTGATCTCTGAGGTAACATTTTAAGTATCCAACTGAAGGCTAACAGGATTTACAAACCGTTGAAAACTTGGCCATATCTGTTCTACCTATTCTACATTGCAGGAATGTTCCATGAACTTAAAGAAGGTAATATCAAATCATACAATTAGCATTTTCTTAAATTAAAAAGTGAGGATCTTTAAACATTTTATTAACATTCATCAAATGCTTACTTGAATAACTTAACTCTTCTATGTGGTAGTAAGAGCGAAATAAATGAGAAGAGATAGTCCCTGTCTTCATGAAGCTAAAAATCTTTGGGAAGAAACAGATTTATATATGTATATATATGCAAACTTTATATAGATTTATATATAAACATATACATGTATGTTTATACGTACATATAAACATGTATATAAACTCTCCCATTACTCTGCAGCATGAGATAAAGAGATATTCAGAAGCTGTATATACTATTCTAGAAATTCACTTTTCAGTTGAGTTCCAGCTGATCAGTGCCAAATCTGACCACTGTCTCTACCCTAACTCCAGGTTTCCGCAACTTGCATGTGGACGACCAGATGGCAATCATTCAGTACTCTTGGATGGGGCTGATGGTGTTTGCCATGGGCTGGCGGTCCTTCACCAACGTCAACTCCAGGATGCTCTACTTTGCCCCTGACCTTGTTTTCAATGAGTAAGTGCTTATGGGCTTGTGATTTACATAAATACAACCTTTTGGCTAGATCTGTTTTGTTTCAATTGTACAATGAAATAACAGTGGTTGTTAGCTCATTCGATCTACATGTGAGACAGTAGAGGCCAGCATGCTGAGAAATGTTTTGCCTGGCTGAAAGGCTAAATGGTGGTGGGAAAAGAATAGATTGGTGCACAGGCCATCCTGTTCCACTAAACCTGGTAATTTCGACCTTCCTTATAATATAGAAATTTATATAAATTTTATAAAATAATATAAAAACTTTTTAAGAACCTCATGTAAATGTCTTTCCCCTCCACTTAAACCACATGGAGAATGAAGAAACAGAGAAGTAGTAGGGCTAAATTTAGTGTTTGTGTTACTACTGATGGCTACTGCCAGTCATTAATTTGTTGAGCAATTCCTTTGTGCAAGGACATATGGAATAGGATGATGCAAAGTACTTTTTAAATCTAGTCTTGCTAAGTTCTCATGATAACCTGATTGCCTTACTTAATCTTTTTAACTTTCGGGGAGTTTAGGCCACACCCAGAGGTGCTGAAAGCTTACTCCTGGCTCTAAATTCAGGGATGAAGCCTGGTGGGGCTCATGGGACCATATGTGGTGCTGAGTATGTAACCTGAGTCAGCTATATGCAAGGCAATCACCTTACCTGCTGTACTTCTGCTCTGCCCGCCCCTCCCCACTAATTTTTCATGGATGAATAAAATTGGCTTCTTAAAGTTAAGTGACTCACCCAAGGTCATGGATCTAGTCTAGTGCATGTTGGCAGCAATTATAAAAAGGAATCTACAAGCAGTGGTGAAGAGCTAATGACATATTGGTGGTGTTTCTAGTGAAATAACATTGAATGTTTAAAACATAAATATTAACACTATTGTAAGTTATGTTACCACAATAATAATAATAATTCTTAAAAATAAAAACAAAATAATATATTTATGGAATCTTCAGCCCTTTTACTTCTTCATAATAGTAACTGATGGTGTTGTACAGCTCCACGACTCTAGCTATGTGAATTTGGCCTGGTCAACTTCTCTGTTAAAACAGACTTTCTTGATGTCTTCCCTGCCACCAGTTCTACATATCTTTCATAAATTTGTCAAGGGTTCAGATTTTAATTATTTTAATTTATTGGCTAAAATACCAATTCTGTAATTTTCTAGACTATTGTCTTTGGGAAAAACAGTTAACTTTCCTCTTTCAGTGCCCTCATCTTTTAGTAAAATTGAACAGATTTCTACGAGAACCATTTCTCAAATGGTTTGTTATTATTAGTAATATGTCAGCTAATGGATATTAAGTACCTGTCCCATAAAGACAAGAAATAAGATAATTACCTTTAGGCTACTCTCTTTCTCTGATAGTGTTAATCTCTGTCTGCTCTTTGAGATTTTTTATGACATTGTGAATGAAGCTGGCCAGAAAAATCTATCCAAGGACTTTCAGTTTATTTTCACATTAAATAATCCCTTTGTTTAAGGCAGGAGTTTACTTTCTATCCCCTTGATCCCTCTAACCCAGAAATACCTTAAAATAAAACCAATGAATTCTTCTAGTACCACAGTATCATTTTAAGGGAAATTTATTGTCCATAGTTACCATATTCTAAGCTCTCCCCGATAGAAGTTAAGAATATCATAGTTTTTTTTACTTTAAATCCCTTATGGTTTCCATATTTCCAAGTATCTTTAAATCTATACTTTAGAGAAGGGATTTTAAAGCTCTTTTCCAATATATTTCCCACCCCCATACTCCTATTTGTTCTGTAATCATTGAATTAACTCTTGGGCATGTGAACTAATCTCTCCACTAATTTTAAAATTTTCTATTTTTAGGAGAATTGTGATACTAAGCAGGATTCAGGGGGGCTAGAGTCAACTTCTGATGATGCTCAGCCTATAAGCCAGACAGTTCAATGCTGAGGTCTGCACTATAATGCTCCTAGTACCTAGAGGTGCTCTCAAGTCATCAGGGTCAAAACTGGAATTGCTCAGAGGCTTCCAGCTCTACGCCTAGAGGTGCTGTCTTGGTGGTCGTATGGTGCCAATGTATATCAAACATGGGTACTTCCATAGCAAGGAATGTGTCCCTGGCTCCACCGCTTTCGAAATTTTGCAAGATAATAATTATTCTGTAAATCCTCCTTTTTCTTCACTGTTACTATGTAGAACCTCAAAATTTGCTATGTTTCTCATCATCAAAAGGTACTGTAGTACTCCCATAGTATTTGAATCCTAGACATATCAGGTCCAGGATTTATGAAACATCACATACTCCTTCTTGTAGAAAATGTTATAGAACCTATGTTATGGCTCTTAGGATCAAATAGTCATTGCTAGAAAATGTTTCACATTTCGAGAAAAATAATTTTTATTTAATGATATTATCACTCACTGTTATCACTGTCCTCCCGTTGTTCATCGATTTGCTCGAGCAGGCCCAGTAACATCTCCATTGGAGACTTTTGTTGTTACTGTGTTTGGCATATCAAATACATCACAGGTAGCTTGCCAGGCTCTGCCGTGCAGGCGAGATACTCTCGGTAGCTTGCCAGGCTCTCCAAGAGGGGCGGAGGAATCAAATTGTTGGCTGTGTGCAAGGCAAACACCCTACCACTGTGCTATCACTCCAGCCCTAATGATATTATGAATATTGTAATATGTTAAATATCCCTAGCAGCCCTTTCCACTACATACCAAATAACCCACTCAATGTGACAACAGAAGATGCCTCCCCCAACATTTTTAGTACCCTCTAGGGCTGTTCCAATTCTTTAGTTGAAAATCTAACTGCTAATAGTCTCCTCAAGGTATTAATAGGTAGAGATAAAACCAAAAGCAGTGACTCTGGGACAACCAACCTGTTTGCTGATGTCTCTAACGAACCCTGTGATCAGCTCTACTTTCATGTATCTCTCACTTTCTCTCTCACTTCCTCTCTCACTTTCTTTCTCACTCTCTTTCTCTCCTTGTCTCTTCATTGAAAGTACATTTGTAATAGCTATGGGTTAAACCATACCTGTATGACTGAGTAAATTACTAAACTTTCCTGAACCTTAATCTCCTCATCTATAGTATGGTTAGCATATCATGATGGCACCTTCTTACATGTGATTTATTGAGTATTTAATATGACAGGCAATTTCTCCTCTTTTGAAAACTTTTTAGATGCAAATTTAACTTTTTAATATTTGGGTACTGTGATTTAAAAAGTAACATATAGTTGAATTTCAGGTAAAAAAATTTCGAACCCCCATTTCACCACAGTCAACTTCTTTCCACCATTGCTGCCTTCCCCTCTTATCTATTTTCCCACTTACTTTTGCTCTCCTACTGAATCTCATTCCTACCCCTCATTTTATATTTTCCATTCTAATGTCCCATTAAAAAAATATTCTCTCCCTGCTATTTTTTATCCTAACTCTTTCATAACTGTTTCTCCTTCTTTCTGAATTCCTTCCCTTGTATTTCACCTCTTCTTACTCATCATTTATCCACCCGGCCCTGCAGCAATGAACTAAAAATCCTTCATTCCAGGACCTTCATTCATATCAGTGTTGTCCTCAATCAAGGCTTGAAATTACAATGGTCATCAAATTAGGGTCAAATACCAAGATCAGCAGATTTAATTGAAAAATACGTAGGTGAAAGAGTTTAGAGTAGCACTGTTCTGGTCAACTAACTTGTTTGTGATACTATATACACATTTTCTCTTTCCAGTTGTTTTCCAGTATGAATTGAATCTGAATCATCTACCTCTTTTTCTCCTTATTATGACTGACAGTATATCTTTTGATATAGGGCATTGAGCTTCCACCCAGCCAATTCCGGGCCTGTTATGCCTATGGTTTGAGGATCAAAATTTCAAACTACAGTCCCCAAACTCAACCTTGGAAGCATTTTTTATCCCATCAATACTGTGGATGTCAAATAACCTTTATTTTGCCACAGATCTCTCTCTTTTTCTCTCTCCCTTTCTCTATCATTTATCGTTTCTAGTATGGAACTTGAAAGGCTGAACACCTATTATAACCTGAAAATTCTTGTGTCTTTATTCTGAGTTGATTTTTAGTCTCTTTTGATAGAAATATTTCAAATTTGGTTACCTAAAGGACATATATGACTCTGCCACAGCTAAGGTATTAGAACTATGGTCAGAAAGACCATATTACTGGCCCTTTATGTTCTTTCATTAGATTTTCCTGTCTCCATCCCTGTTTCAAGAAAAAGGAGTATAGAGACAGAAAAATTACATCTGATAAGCTATCCTACTTGGGGAATTAGGAGTAATTATCAGGATGTCAAGAATGGAGAAGAAGAGGTTAAAATTCATAGACAAAGGGTTTAGCACAGATGTATAGATTTGAATCCTGCTCAAGTCTCCTCTGGAAGCTTGCCACAAGATTGAGGGAGGAGGGTGAAGGGCACAGGTAAAGCGCAATACCTGATAACCTTTAATTATCTGTATTGCAAACCATAAGGCCAAAAAGGAAAGAGACAGAGAGAGAGAGAGGGAGAGGGAGAAAGTGAGAAAAAGAGAGAGAGAACAGTGCCTGCCATAGTGACAGTGGGACAGGGGGTGGGAGGGAATCTAAGACCATTGGTAGTAGGAAAAGTACACTGGTGAAGGGATGGGTGTTTGTACTTTATCTGACTAAAATCCATGAACAACTTTATAAATATGTATATGACTAGTTCAATTAAAAAATTAATGGAAAAATATCAAAATTTCTTAGAACTCCATGAAATTGAAGTAAATAGAAATAAGGTCAATAACTGAATATAAAGAAAATAAAATGTGGAATTTTATTAAGGAAAGGCAAAATAAATCATGGACAAATCGGTACCCCTGGGTCAAAACTCTGGGGGAATTTTGGGAGGGGGCAGGCCATGTATCAGCCCAGCAGGAACCCGGGCAGCCACATCTATACCTTACTGCTGCAGACACGCCAAAGCGTAAACTTCACCACTTCACTAATATTCTCTGCAGAGACACAAAACTGTGAAAAATTTCAGGTACCCCAGTGCCAGATTAAGAATTCTTGGGTTGGGGCTGGAGCGATAGCACAGCGGGTAGGGCGTTTGCCTTGCACGCAGCCAACATGGCCGACACAGGTTCGATTCCCAGCACCCCATATGGTCCCCTGAGCACCACCAGGAGCAATTCCTGAGTGCATAAGCCAGGAGTAACCCCTGAGCATCGCCGGGTGTGACCCAAAAAGCAAAAAAAAAAAAAAAAAAAAAAGAATTCTGGGGTCTTCCCGGAGGTGGAATAGGTAGCCTTCCACCACCCACCAGTAGTTCCAGAAGCTCCAACAGCCATGTCCACCTTCCACAGCTGCTATTATGTCAACTAATTGATCCAGACCTTATATCCTGGTCCCCAGAACATACGGTGGCCTCATGACACCTCCTAATTCCTCAACTGAAATTCAGTAGGAGCACATCAGATTAGATGGGAAAGTAACACAGAAACCAAGTAAATTCAACAACCAAAAATAATAACACAGAAGTCTCAACTAACAATTAGCAACAAACAGCTTAGTGAATCCTTATACAAGGACTTAACAACCCCATTACTCATAAAAGAATTTTTGCATTAAAGTTTTTATTTTTAAAAAAGTATTTATTATAATATTAGGTTTTTTTTTATCTAATCAACTTCAGTTCTTGAACACTATAAACAGTTGTGGCTTTTGTCTACATTTAAAAATGATTAATATTTTTTAAAAATTTAAAAAGTTAATGGAGGGGCTGGAGCAATAGCACAGCGGGTAGGGCGCTTGTCTTGCACGCAGATGACCCGGGTTCGATTCCCAGCATCCCATATGGTCCCCTGAGCATTGCCAGGGGTAATTCCTGAGTTCAGAGCCAGGAGTAACCCCGGTGCATCGCCAGGTGTGACCCAAAACACCAAAAAAGTTAATGGAAAGGAAAGAATAATTTTGTTCTTTATAACTGAAACAGGACGAGAAACAGAAAACTCTTCTTGGAGAACTTGCTTAAAGAAGGAACTGAGATATTTTCTCCAGGATTATTTTAAGTCTTACTAAATTCCTCTCCTTCACAATTTGTCTTATTCCTAGGTACCGCATGCACAAGTCCCGAATGTATAGTCAGTGTGTCAGAATGAGGCACCTTTCTCAAGAATTTGGATGGCTCCAAATCACTCCCCAAGAATTTCTCTGCATGAAGGCACTGCTGCTGTTCAGCATTAGTAAGTACCTGAGGTTTAGGAACCCTTGAATTCCTAGGGGCTCAAATGGAAGCTGATTTTTCCTATTGGAGCATAACCAGGGAGAAGCCAGCTCCTGTGCATTTTCTTCTTTTACGCTCTCTCCTCCACTGTCTCTTAGCATCCCTTTTCTTAACAGGATTGGATTTTTTTTGGTTTAGAGATAAATTAATTTGCTGGCAATTAATCTCCATTAGGTTTTCACATACTCACAGTCTCTTTTGGGGACAAGGTCTTTTCAGTCTTTACATTTTCCCCATAAATTCTATCACAAAACAGACAAGGACCAACTTAGATTTCTTTTTATGTTTGTGTTTTTCTTGTCACCCTACATTTCTTGTATGACAGGAAGGATTGTCTCCTGGGAGGCATTTTCTCTTCTGCCAACAGGAAGAGACCTATGAAAGGGTTTACTTGGCAGCTTTCCTTATAATATCTATTTTAAGAAGAGTGCTGCTTTAGCTTTTTTGAGGGAAAAGGAAGCAAACTTTCAATATATAAAGCTATGTGTTTTAATTGTGAAAGTCAGAGCTGAAATACAGGTAATAATAAAACAATTTCATAACTAATATGTACTTATTTTATTATATATGACATATATAATATACATAATATATATACCACAAAAATGGAAAGCCATAGAAGAATAAATTCAAATTTTATTTATCTTTCTATTCTTGTCCCTAAAACTACTGGCAGAGTGAAGGTTTCAGACATTAGATTTCAACTGACAGAAAGCCAGAAACATGTCCCAGTGGGAGTGGGAGTTATGTTTGTAGTCAGAAAACTTGATGCTCTTTCTAATGCTCCTTCATGGAAAGACTTTTCCTACTCATTCTGTTTTTGCCCCCATCAGTTCCAGTTGATGGCCTAAAAAATCAAAAATTCTTTGATGAACTTCGAATGAACTACATAAAGGAACTTGATCGTATCATTGCATGCAAGAGAAAAAACCCCACATCCTGCTCAAGGCGCTTCTACCAGCTCACCAAGCTTCTGGACTCTGTGCAGCCTGTAAGCAAATGATGTGTGTGTAGGGGTGCTTTGGCCTGATAGAGCCAAATGATAATACGTTCTTCTAGGATCTGGCACAACCTGTTGGGAGGCGCTTCCATTCCCCATTGGTTTTGAGTGTCTTCCAGAAAGAAAATACAATGGAGAAGAAAGGAACACAGGTCACAATGTCCCGGCTGGATGTTGTGAAAGAGGTGGAGGAGCTGAGAACAGAGCTAATGGGACACAGAAAAGGCTCTTAGAGCAAATAAGTCCTCTAGGCAGAAAAAGTAATGTTTTTCCCCCTTTCCTCAAGTGATGTGTATGTGAGTTTGTGTGTTTGCATGTGCATACGTAATATGTGCACACTGGTTAAAAGAAATTTCCTACCTGTCCTGTGTCAGTTAGCTATAGTATCTCTTGGGAGCCCTCAGTAACTGCCTGGAATCCATTACTGCACATGTGGTTTTACACACATGTACATACACACATGGTTAGGAAAGGGGGTGGGAAGTAGGGGTGAGAGGATGGCAAAATCTAGGTTGAAGGTAATTTCTGCTAACTCTATTTTCTCCCTCTCTTATTGTTCCCCTACAGATTGCAAGAGAACTGCATCAGTTCACATTTGACCTGCTAATCAAGTCCCACATGGTGAGCGTAGACTTTCCAGAAATGATGGCAGAGATCATCTCTGTGCAAGTTCCCAAGATCCTTTCTGGGAAAGTCAAGCCCATCTATTTCCATGCCCAATGAAGCTTTGGAATCCCTTATTTCCTCATTCTCACCACTTTCCTTTTCAGATATCTTCTGCCTGAATGAATAACTGCACGACTCTGCAATGCCTTGAGAAATTTCCACTACTGGTGTGCAATATGTCATGAAGATATTCCATAGTTCAATTTGCTGTGCTTTTTTTCTCTTATTTTTAAATCCCTCTTCTTCTCTGACCCTCACATGGCACTTTAGACTCTGCTTCTTACCATGACTCTTACCCATGATTTCAATAGTGTTGTATATCTTTAAATCTGTGATGATTCCTCTATGGCCCATTGTCAAGTTGTGCTTGTTTATAGCAGTATGCCGTGTGCCAGCCACACAAACATTTACTCACCTGATGTCACAGCAAGTTTAGTTTTTATGAGTTTCTGGCAAAACAAAACAAAAACAAAAGCAGAAAACTTGCTAGTGATTTTTCTCTTAAAGTTATGAAAACAAACATTTTTAAAGAGGATAACAGTCATTAAAATAAGGTGGAAATTCTAGGCCCATGGGGAATTGAACTGCTTTTATTCTTAACCCTCCCTCCTGGAAAAAATTATTTTCTGCCTAGGGCTATTGCTGTTAAAGGGCAGGATGACCCCAGAGTTGAGTTGGGGTAGGAGGGAGGACTTATTAAAAACAGGACAAAGAGGACAACTAGATCAACAGTACCTGCCTAAGGCCATTGTCCCTGAGGGCTTGACTGTTCAACTCTAGTACAGTTCATTGTACTGGACAACGTGCTTCTTATTTGTAAACTCTTTTGCATGTGAATATCTCCCCCTTCTAATCCATTTTCTGTATCATTCTCTTTTTACACTTAAATGAAATTTCCATAGCTTTTTAAGAACTTCAACTAGATCTAGTCCAAACATGGCTATATCCCCTGAAGAATCTGACCAGAGGGAGGAGATATCTGATTCTTTGGAAGACATGGTCTGATCCAGTTTAACTTTCTCATTTGTGGGTCTGAATGGAACTTGAGTCTAGAGTCAGAGAAAAAGGAGCTGGTGACTTGCTGTTCTCCTTCCTTGGACCTAAGAAGTTTACTGATCCTTCTTTATCCCTATCTTTAATACACCCAACTGTTTTCTGCCTGAATTTCTATAGCTGCAAATTCTCAAAACAATCCCTTCTGTGTTTTGTGATCCTGAGTTTCAACTGACAGCATTTAAGTCATTACAGTGAACTTTGTTTACATCTTTGGGCATGTTCACAGACTGCTAAAGCCTCTTCCACTTAAATGGCTAGCAAGGCAGCAGTACTGACATGTAGATGTCATTAAGTTTAAGATTTCTTACCAAGTACTCTCTCAACTATCAGATCTCTATAGTTCTTAAATAAACTGGAAAAAAGTATCATTGGGATTTGACAAGATGTGTATTTTGACCTTGTCCCCAGAGATGCTACCTTCCCTCCCTTTGAAGACATGTCCACTTTCTACTTCAGAGCAGCTAAAGGGAGATCCCAGATCAGGTTTGAAGAGAAAAATCAATTACCAGGGAGGGAAGAATGAAATAATTACAACCCAAAACTGTAAATGATCATCTTGCTACCCAGCAGGAGATACACCTGCAGAAATCCTATAAAGAAGAGAGAAGAAATCAAGAGGAGACTAAGACACCTAACTAAAGTCTTCAGAGGCAAAGTTTAAACCCTGGTGGACATCATCTGTTGAGTATACTTCCATTCCTCCTCTGCTGCTGAATATGGACTCTGACGTTGACCATGCTCACTCAGAGTAACACTTTCATTGCAGCCTCACAGAGGAAGGCTGAGATATTGAGACTATACAAACATGGCCATCTTTTGGAAAAACCTGATTGTTGTGACTCCCATGGGTTACTACCCATGAATTCATAATGTGTTCCTTGGACACTGGTTTCATAATGTCCTTGGCATAACTCTGTTCAGTTACTTTGTTTCCCAACCCTGAGTTCAGCAGAATGTTCACCTACTTTCTTATATCGGTACTGCTCTCTCAGCTCTTAGTAAGAATTTGTTTCCCATTTCATTGGTTCACTCTATTTGTTGAGAATATAGTTTCTTTTGGCATTACATGATATAGGTGAATTTCCTCCACCGATTTCTGTGTTGATAGCCAAAAGAATTTCAAAACAGCTCTTGAAATAATGAGGGAGATGTGATGGGTATATCAATCCGAGATTGGTGTACATTACAAAAGATAATAGGCTCTCTTTCTGGGGTAGAATAGACACATTCTGATTTACTTTGTTATGGCACCATATGGTTTACATAATAAGCCCACAAAATTACTTTTAGTTGTTCTAAACAGAAGAAAAAAATTATAACTCTTTCACTTAAAATCTGTTATACTTTAATAGCCCCTTTATATCTGTTTTGAGATGGTCTTCATCTTTTCTGGTGCATGAATGCTATTATGTCATTCTAATATTTCATCTTGTAAATACTGGAGGTTCTCCTTTTTCTCAGACTATCAGTTTTCAGCTTTATGGGTTTCCCAATTATGACATTTGTTCTTATGAATATATTATATTTTTAAATGTTTAAAGATAAAACCTATGAAACATCAGTGTAATTAAAATCAACATCAAATGAATTACTCTGAATTACCAAATGGTAAGACTAGAGAAAAACTACCTAAACAAGGCATTTGACCTAGTGTTTTTGAACTAGTGTTTCAGTGGGCGAAGGAGATTTTGGCTTGTCTTTGTTCTTCCACAGATAAAAGGGAGTATTTTTTTCCTTTTAGTCATTGATGTTGCAACAAATTCAAGTTCATAATTCTCATTTTGCATTTATTCTGCTCCACAAACTGAGTTGATATGGTTGCTACACTGTGCTCATGTGTGAAGGATCAGCCATCCAGACCCACTGCTTTTGTGAGCTGGAAGATGAGGATCATTCACAAGACAATTCACAGGACCTATCTCTAAAGATATTTACAGTTCTCAATTGGACGAAGAGTGGGGAAGATTAAAAAGAAACAGCAGAGAAAAGATTCCATCTGTGCTGGGCAGCAGACAGCTGCCAGGGTCACAAACTCTGTGGTTTAAAAAAAAAAAGAAGTAATGTGGCAGTTTCAGCTCTTATTGATTGGGCAATATGCCCAGGCCTAGCCTCTGAGATGAAATGAGGATTGGGTTCTTTGTTTTACTGTTTTTCTATGCCACAAACAGTATCATTGTTCTTATAGACTTGTTATTTTTCATTTAGAAGGGATTTTTGAAGGATTCTGTCATATATCATTGAAAATATAACCAGTAATGCATATATTTTTGCAGAAGCTCACCAGCACTGAAAGAAAAAGATATTTACTCTGTTTTTTGGTTAGTTGCTGAGGTGATTGTCAAAGGTTAGAAAGCATGTGCTGATGCTTTCCTCTCTGTCCATAATATTCTTCCAAATACATATGTGCATATATAGCAAGAAGTATTCTACTTGTACTTTAAGAGACCATAGACCTACTATCCATCCACATAATAAGAAATTAATGCAAGTGGCCTAACTTTGAGCTTCAAATTGTTTGTTTCACTAGGGGTATGACAGATATGGCTTCATTTTTATTCCCTTGAAATTCAGCAGTGGGCAAAAGTTCAAACTATTTTTTTACCCCTTCCAAGTCCTTTGCCAGAGAGATTCACTTCCTGAAACTAAACAGTCTAAGAAGTATTCTTGTTATTCTCTGCATAGACTTGGGTAAACAATAAACTGACTTTTAGTTATCCTCTGCTAGTTGCCCAGGTGAGAGGACCATGGTTTAAGGGAGGACCTTCATCTTTGAATATACTCCTCCATAATAGGACACAGTTACCAGGAATGCAAAGTTAGGGATCAAATTCCAAACTTAAAGTAAGTCAGATAATATGTGCAATTTCCTGTAAAAGGAGGATTCTACCCCTCTTTACTTTTATAAGCAGGTCTGTTCTCACCACTAATCTAATTGAAAATCTTTGAAAGCAATTAAACTACAAAGAAATGAAAGAACCCTATTATATAACCAAAGATTACACTGTATCTGCTAAGATACCAAAAAGTTTAAAGACAAGGAGGGAATAAGCATTAGTGCCTCTTTAGTAAACTACCCAAAGACAGACTAAAAAACTTTGCTGGTGACTAACCTATGAGTGTTGTGGGTTTCTTCCTGACTGTACATGTTTAGAGGAGTGGGAAGTAATTCTTGGGGATTAAGCAGGATAATAGGTCCTTTAATAAGTGATTTTATGAGCAAAACTAGTTTTCCTCTTTTTCTAGTAGTAGTTGCTGATCAAATTCTCAAAGCTCCATTATTGCATGATTGAAATTGGAGCTCTCTTGGCCACTGTGTTTGCTTGTGCCCGTGTTAGTTTATTGAACATGTGAACTCAGCCCTTGCTGAGAATATTTAAAGAACTATATTTTACACCTTAGGGAAAGCAGACAGAAACCTTCATTTCTGCCTATTTTTCAATGGCATAAAAATTCTCTGTAGTTTAAAGTAGGTGTTTGAAATATAGTGTAAATTAGTATTTGTATCAATGTTTCAAAACTTAATTATATATAGATGTACTATGTGCTGATAGCCTTACATTTCTCTGTAACTTTATATTTGGTTCAAAGTACAATTGACACTATATACTTGTGGAAAATGCTGCAATTACATTTTGGAAGCTCTCTAAGAATGGAAAATATATCTGGGTGATAATATAAATAAGAGATTTCTGTCTATAATTGGGCCTTACCTGGAGGCCTTACAAAGGGCAAAGAAGGGGAAATATAAGGGTACATGATGTATTGCACTTTACTATCCTAAGACAGATGAATGTGTAAAGGATTGTGAAGTTATTGGAACATATTTGAATGTACCCATAGGGAAAGCTGGAAGGCTGAAGGCCCACCCAGATGGCTGATGCCCCCACCCCATAGGAGACCTGAAAAGTAGAATAAATGTATCTCTGTTCTCCCCGATATTTGTTTGAGAGGGAACTTTTTGCATTTGGGAATCTGGAATAAGTGCTCCATATTTCAAAAAATTCACTTGTGATTGAGGTGTTCTTGCTACTGGGTATGCTATAATTCTGGTTTGATATTGGTATTTTAAGATTTTTATAATGAAATTGCATTTTTCTTTGTTAGAAAAACTGTGTCAATGCACTAGACATTGTAGTTTTGTAGGTACAGATCCATCTCTGAACAAGACTTTTCCTTCAGTTAAGAGATTGACATATGTGGGTGTATTGCCCGGAGCCTCCCAACCCCTTCTAGGTGAAGGCAGAAAAACCTACATTATCCATTCCACTATAGACACTTCATATGAGGTAACAATCAATTTGACATGCCCCAGTCTCTCCTAAAAAAGTGGTGTTGGAATTCCGCTGGTAGATACTAAAAGAAAAAGCAGCTTTTGACTCAGCTTCAATTTACCCCAACTTCAATTTGGCCAAAAAGCAGATAACATGTATTGAACTCTTTCTTATCATAATTCAGTATGGCAAAGACACTGCTTCTTTTCATCATACCACTCATCTCTTTACCTTTTATGGAATTTAAATAAGAAATTGAACTGAGTGGACCCTGAAACCTAAAACAATTCCCACAGTCACTACTTAACAAGGTAGACTGCATTAGCCACCAAAGACTGGAACACACTCATAGACTAACAGAAGAAAAATTATGAAATATTGCTGCTCCTCTATTGGTGCTAATCCTATTTTTTCTTAACATTTGAAGACTGTACCCTGTGCAGTGTTGCAATTTCTTTCAACCTTAGCCTTTGGTACAACTGTGCTGGTATGAAATGCCTATGGTTTTGTCCTATTGCATTAGCCACTGTTGTGTTGAGAATAGACACCATTTGGATTATTGATACTAAAGAAAATAGACACCATTGGGATGATTCAAGATAAACCTTTCTGCTTTCCCCTAGAGTGGATATTGGATCAGGGAGTGCCTCAGATATGACATTTTTATGCTGTCCTTGAGATTAATTTGGAAGGAGAAGGGAGCTATGTAACAAGAATAAAAGAATTTTCAATGTTGATGGAAAAATTTTTAAGTAGAGTAAGAAAAAATATAAGCATATTTTCAAAAGAAATAATAATTTTGCTTTGATGGGGCTACAGTTTACACAGGGGTGGTAAGCCTCCACTGGGCAGCAGCTAGTGTTCTGTTAACATTTTGTAATCTTGAAATCTTTTGTTGCTCTAAATACAATTAAAAATTGCAGAAACTTGTTTCTTGGCATAGATGTCTGGCTCTGGATTTGTCTCTGTGTCTGGTTTCAGAAATGTCATACACTACATAAAATATTGGCTTTGCTGAAGTGCCAGCTAAAACTTGGCCATGGCCCCTGTTGTGACTGCAGACTCAAGTTATTGTTAACAAAGAGACCTGAGAAAATGTTACTAATGTCCTCTTATCACCATTGTTAATGATTTAAACAAAAAACAATCTAAAATTCAAGATGAATGTCATTAGGTTCTTTTAATTAGGTTCTTTTATTGGATCCCTTTATTGAAGAGATTTGGCATCATGCCCAGTAACTTTTTCGTGTACTTTAATTTTCATATATTTAAATGATCTTTGTACAGGGATTGTACATGTACCCTCTGATAGCTTTGGCATAAGTTGACCTGGTACTAGCAAAATTTCAAAGGATCTACTTTAGAAAGCACGAATACACACTGTTAACCTATTAAAGCATCTTATCAAAACCTCTTTTTCTACTGGGTGCAAGCCATATAAAATTAAGCTTTTCACCTCATCCTCACCCTTATTGGAACCTAAAAATGTGGGTATTTCATTGCCCTGTTCTCAAGAATCTTCAGATAATGAAGGGGTATATTCTCGTCTTATTTTTCACAGACCATGTCATACTTGACCACCCAGGTAAACCCAAGCAGGGTACCAGAATGTAATTTACAAGTCAGTGCTTACTCCTATCACTGCATCTGACTTGGGAACAAATCCTGGCACCACATAATTATCTAAAGAAATGTGTTTGTAGGATGTATGTATTAGTCAGATCCTGTTCCCTTCTGACCATCATTCTTTAGAGTTCCCTTTTTTCCTTTTTTGTCCCTGCACAATGACATAAAACCAACTCATGTAGGTTAATTTTACAGTCAGCTTCTTCATAAAGTGACACTGTGGCTTGCATCTAACATGGATTTTCCAAGGAGAAAAAAAACTAAAATGTTAAGGCAAAGGATGCCAAGTAAATTGAAAATAGCTTAGGACAAGAGTCCTGTATGTGAATTTAGGATTCTGGCTGGGTGATATACTCTATGATACTGGGCAACAATGTGTAATTTTCTTGACCTTAGTTTTGTCTCCACAAAATAAGCATATCATGGTCTTTCTCACAGTGATTCAATAAAAAAATCTTTAAAATAATTAAACATATCAGAAGATGTGAAATTCTTTACTAATGAGTTAGGAAACCCCTTGTAATGTGAACACCATGATTATTAAAAAGCACATCAAAATCTTTTAAAGCTATTGGATACAAGTTAAAGAAAAGAGCCTTTCATTATCCTTAAAACACAATTTTGAAACTAGAATCTCTGTTATAGTGTCAAACATTACCAACCTTCTGTGAGTGCTCCTGTGTTTTAGATGCTGTCAGGCATTGATCATTGGGATCAAAAGTGAAATTTTGACTATTAGCTATTGTCATAAATAATCATGATAAAAAATAAATGAAACACAGTCCATTTTTTTCAGTGACTTTGTAGTTTACTAATTGCCTTAGGCAAGACCAGTCTGAGTCATCAATCACAACTAACCACTAAATTCCCTTATTCAATCCTCTGAAAAGTTTGAGAAAACCTTTTCTTTTTTAATTATATCTGCTTTTTTGAATGATAATTGACACTAAACAGTACATATCCCAGACTTTTCATTGTTTGCATAAAGAAACAATGCCAAAAATATATTTAATAATGTTTCTGTGAACTAGGATTCACCACCAGCAAGACTGTATCCAAAAAGTGGAGTGAAAACCATACTATTTAAAACAATTCTCCCAATTTCCATTGGAGGACTTCAAATCTCTGACATTAACACAAGCTAGGCTATCAGCAGTCTTTCTCAGGCAACAGAATGTAGTAAGGGTAACTACATATAGTTTGTTTTGAACAGAGGGATATATTTGAAGAATCTGTGAGAGATTATAGCATGAAGGGATGCAACAAAGTCAGTCAGAGCATAGATATCATACTGGAGATTTTTCTTTAACCCACGGTTAAAGCTGAGACATAGAAATCCTTGCCAGCATTTTACTTGACAGATATCAAAACCTCATTTGAAACTTATACTGAGGAGGCAGGTAAGTAATCAAGACCATTTTGTAGATAACAGAATCAAAATTCAAAGACTGCTTATGCATAAATAACAATCTTAAGTATAAAACAGTTCTGATAAGTTCTGTGAAGTGAGATTTTCTTGCATTGGTCCCTGGATGGTTAACAGAGCTCCCTAAATAGGTATTAGTGCCATCTTGGGTAGTACAGACTATAACAAACCAGGCAAATTGGTACCTTTGTTTTGCATATATGAGATCCAGGAATTGACCCCAGGCACTGCAAAGAAACAAAAAGGAGGAAGAGGAGGAGAATGCGAAGGAGAAGGAAGAGGAAAAGGTGAAAAAATAAGAAAAGGTGAAGAAGAGAAGTGTAGGGAGGATGAATGCCAGAGTAGATACAACATATCACCTCCTAGAAGGAGTTAATATCTGACTTAGGACTTGAACAATGAATGACAGTCCACAGGAGGAAGGCAGACAACCAAAGCAGAGGGAGAAATGTCCAACAGTAGCCTATAATATGACTTCTTTTGAGAGCAAAAAATTAAGCTAATGGCGAGTAAGAACTAGAAATGAGTCTCAGATAGAGCCAAGCGTACAAAACCATTTGTGTGCTTGACAAAAAGTGGGATTTTTCTCTCAGAATTTTAAGTAGCACTAGTTTGGGAAATTCTGGGGTTACATAGTACTCCATGTACAACTTACTGCCCCCCTACTTAACAAAAGAAGAATGCAAGTGAAATTTACACTATTCAAAGGAAAAGTTTGAACTTTCTTGGTGTGTATGTGCATCTTTATGTATAACACACACACTCACATATGTATAATCTACAAAATTCAATGTTTAAGATATTCTCAACAAGGGTCAAGATAGTACACAGGCTAACAAGCTTGATTTTCATGCACTGATCCCATTAGGTCCTTTGGACTGCAGATAGTCATCAGAGGTATTCCTAAACATAGAGACAGGAGTAAATCTTCAACACCACTGGGTGTGGCCTCAATTTTCCCCTCCCCACAAGATATTCTACACAGGTTACTTGTCAAAACCCACAATATTACATAAAATTAATTTAATCAATGAATAATTTTTTTAACTAAAGAAAACTAGCAAATAGTTTTGGGAAATCATATTTTACAACACTCACAGGAATGACACAGAGATAATGGAATAACAATACAAAATGATAGCAAACAAAAATTGTGAATGCATATATGAGAAAATCATCAAACTAAAGTATCAATATTATATTGAGTCTTACACAATTCTCATATCTATAAAATAGGTTGAGCAGAGTTACTTCCATTATGTAGATAACAAATTTGAGGTTTACTTCTGGTTCAAATAAAGATTAGTTCTAAGTAATGCGTTAAACCTAAAGTATTTTTGTTGCCAAAGCTTATAATTTTGATAAATACACTATATCTTTGAAAGATTTGTTGGTTTACTCGGTACTTATAAAGAAACCAAAGGAACTCATAAATTTTCAGAATCATAAATATTACTAAAGATTACTAAATATGATAATGGATTTGTCTTCACAATCACACATTTCATGATGAATAAAGAAGTTAACTATATGACAATAGGTTTGTCTTCACAATCACATATTCAAGGATGAAAAAAGTGTTGTCTAGTATACATAATCCATAGTCATCTTCACCTGAATTTCAGAAGAGTCCTGTTTAATATTTTTATCTTTACTATATAACAAGTCTTTTATCTCATACCTTTTTCTTCTTTCTATCTCTTCGTTATATGCATTTGTTTTACAGAAGTTTCTTCAGTATCCAGAGAATTTAATAATTCCTTTATCTATAAAGACATGTAGGGGAGATAAACAATATATCATGAATTAAGATGCCAGATTCTGCAGATAAACATAGTTTAACAGAGCTCATTCCCACTCTACATTCTCATTCCCCCACACCCATTTATAAGACAATGGAGAGAAGGACTTGGCTAGTTTTTACATCTCCAAATCACCTTCTTAGAAACTTTCTACAAAAAAATTATTTACCAATCTGGAAGTTCCAAGGTTTATTTTATGACAAGGTATATAATTGCATCCTTATGTTTTAGAATATGTATCATAGAAAGGACTAAAAGTATTTAGCTCTGCTTGTTAATGTCCAGCCACTAGCCTTCTTGACAATATAGCCAGTCCTCTTTTGCTTTTTGTTCCACAACTGTCTCTACCCAGAGCATGCCATATTGCCTACCATTCTAAAAACCTGTCAATCTTTGTACATGTTTATTTCTACTAATAGCCCCTGGGTCTTTCTTGAAAATTTTTGCAGTGGTCTCTGTGACAAATTTTTCATGGTCAGCTCTAGTGTATTGGAGGGTGGGGTGGGGTGGGCCTAAGGTTCATTTCTGGCAATGCTCAATTTGGCAATATAAGCATGACATTTTGGTTCCCAGAAAAAAATTATTATCGGATAAATATGCTGTTAGCTATATCTTCTATCAAGAATAATTTTAAAGGCAACAGAGACTGCTTAAGTTGTCTCTATATATGGTCGCATTATGAATTTTATTAATGTTGTAGGTCAATAACTAGAGTACAGGCAATATTTTTGAAAAATTATAATAAACAAGTAAACAGCAATACATGTTACTGTCTTCTCTTCATATGGTACCCTTCATAAGGAATTCCCTCCCATATTTCTTGCTAGGAAGATTATTCTTACCCATTAGGATAGCTCTGACTCTTACTCAACTATAATTTTTTTAAATTTTTACTAGTGAAACACCATGAGGTACAATTTTAGACTTACAAATTTTTGTGCTTGGTTTCAGTTATACAAAGATTGAGAACCCATCCCTCCACCAGTGCCCATACCCAACTCCAATGTTCCCAGCATCCTTCCCACCTCCAATCTGAACCCACCCCTGTGGCAGGGCATTCCCTTTTGTTCTCTCTCCTTTTGGGTAC